GAACGTTCACACAAAAAGATAGGATTTTTTCAAAAAATCGGAACTGAGCATTAAGACCTGCAGTGTGAACGTAGCCTAAGTTTTGGAGTTGAAAGAAAAAAATTCAGACGGATTAATCAACATTAGTGGCATCATCCTTCTACTTTTTCTTCTCGTGTAACAAACTGTTCGGTCAGACCGTCTTTAGAAGCTGAGCGCTGATCTGCAGCCAACCTGTGGTTTTATCAGCCAGCATCTATCAACACTAAATGGCAGCTAAAGCTTTCCCAAAATCATTACAGCTTCTAGTTTCCCTCTCCTGATAGCCTGCAAAGTCAATAAGGAAGACATTAAGACCAGCAGACCCTGCTGAACTCAATCATGTTATCTGACTTTTACCAGCCGGGGCCGTTTGTCTGTTTTACTGACACATGACGATGTGTCCGTCTCGTTTTCCTTTCCCTATAAATCCTTCTCTTTCTTCTTTCACAGGAAAAGGAGATTATGAAGGAAATCATGGATAATGGCCCTGTGCAAGGTAAGTCAATCCCTCGACTCGGGGTTAAATAAATCTATAAATAAGATTTTGATGTCAACATTTCCTGCAAAGTGGGTTTGACCATCCTAAAAGAATCTGAACAATTCTGTTGTCGGAGTCGTAGCGCGCATCCTGAGCTGCATCCAAAGTGTTCGACCTGGTGACGTCACGTTTTGTTTAACTCCGACTTTGGGTTTCTGGAGACAAATGCAGTTCTTTTCATGTCAGTGGGGCTGACCTGACTTTCCTTTACTGTCTGCTGCTCATCTGGGCCGCTGTCAAGTACATTCAAACAGAGAAGTCACATGTTCGTGTGTGTGTGTGTGAGAGAGTATCTAAGAACCCGTGCCAACTTTCTGTATCATTGTTCAGTCGTCCAGAGCAGGAAGACTCAAAGTTTCCTTTTTTACATCAGAGTTGCTCTTTGACACAAAGGCAAACAGGCATGAGTGTGTGAGCCTTTGTGTTGTGTTTATGTACCTGTAGTCAAGGCTCGCGGTGTTCTCAGACAGGGAAAACTGGATTTAGTGTTAGTTTGTCTTCCCAACTTTTAACAGAACGAGTTGGAAAAATCCAGAAGCACACACACACAAAGAACAGCCCGCTCTGATGTGTGGGTGTGTGCGACCTCCAGGGAACAATCTCAGTCTTGTGAAAAAAAAGCTTAATTGCTTCTAATCATCAGGGTTCAGATAAGATTTTTATCGTTCCCGTTCACAATTGTTTCCAGTTTATTTCTGTGTGTTTGTTTCTATCTGCCACCTCATTCTCTCCGCTTGTTTGTTCACGCAGCTATTATGGACGTCCACGAGGACTTCTTTGTCTATAAGAGTGGGATCTACAAACACACCGATGTCAGCTTTGCCAAAGCGCCACATTATCGCAAACACGGCACACACTCTGTCAGGATCATTGGGTAAGTTCATGACCTGTTTTGTGATTTTTTTTTAGTCATATCTTGGTGTAGAAGTTTGTCCAAACCTGATTAGCCTCAACACAAACACACATTTTTGATTGGAATCTTCCTTTTTTATAAGTGGGAAAGCTTTTTTTGGCGTTATCAGCAGGAAAACAAACTGGATGTCGCCAGGAGATAAACGTTCCTCTTTCCTTTAAAACACCCCGTTTGTCTGTTTTCGTATTTTCAACACTTATAAAATATTTTTTTATGAGAAGCTGCTGACATCGAGTTTGATTCAGATCTCCACTAGTACATGTGTTTGCACAAAGCCAGAAGTGTACATGTGAATATAAGCCTCCCACCCAGACTTGACACACCTTGGCTCCACTCCTTCTGCCCCAGACAGTGTCCCACCCCCCCTCCCCGCACCGCGTAACCCAAACAGCCACAAATATGCAGGCAGGTAGACGGCTGCCGCACCTGGAATCATACACTCACCCCAGCTCCCAGCGTCTCTCGCTACCCCTCCCCCCACAATCTCATCTCCTTCCCTCTCTGTTGTCTCCATCACATCTCTTCATGGCTGTCTGCCTCACAGACGAACCTGCTTCCTCTTTGTTTCTCCTCTTCGAGTCCAAGTCAAAATACAGTCATTATTATTTAGACAGCCCCCCCTGCAGACAGACAGACAGGTAGTTGTTTGTTTGCTGCTGCGTGTGTCGTCTGGAGGACACCGAGGGAGGTTCAGACAAGTGAAACATCAAAAACAATCCTTTCACTAGTAAATGCAGGACTTTTGGGGGTCTGGTTTATCAAGTGATTCTACCGTAAAGGAGTGCGTGACACAAATTTAGGTGTACAGACAAAAACTTATAAGACTAAAGCTCACAGCCTTAATAAAAAAGGGGCGAAAACTCATCATTTTTTCAATTTTTTTCAACTGAAAGTAGGATATTTGTGACACCTCAGAGTTACTCCCACATTTATCACATTGAGTTGTTATTCTAATCTTACACACTTTATTTTATACCCAATGTTTTATTCACTTAATACCTCACCTAATAAAGGGCAGACATTTTTAAAGTGAAGCAGTCAGGTGGAGACTAAAAAGTGCCTCAAAAACCAGAGTTGTAAAGTAACTAAGTACAAATATTTCTTTACTGTACTTAAAGAGTAACTTACCCCAAAATTAACTTTTTTTTAGCTGATAAACTGTCTAGAATGTGTCTAAAATGTTATATAGTACTGTTTCTGTGCTAATTTTGATGTTTTTGTGCGTATTTGTTCAAATCTGTAATATTTGGTCTAAAAACGTCTTTTTGCTGCTCATATGGGTAGAGCAGTGGTACTGCAGGCTAATTTGCATATTGGTTAACGGCTCTCCGCTGTGACGTGTCTTCTCCACGGTTTCATCACAGCGGCTGTGTTCTGGTATAAAAGCCTCTCTCTAAGACACGCCCCTGCAGAAATTTTGGGTATCTGGTACTTTACTTGAGTAATGATTTTTCAGCCTACTTTTTACTTCTTACATTTTCACACAATTGTCTGTACTTTCTACTCACAACATTTTTTAAAAAAAGGCAAGAAGTAGAATGTGGTTACTTTTATTTCATTTKTGCTTGTTTTCATTCCAGCTTGTTATTGTAAAAAATAAATACTATCCATATAAATTGTGCCTCCTACATGGAGTTAATTTAATTGTGGTTGAATGAGAAATATAAATATAAAAAAATTTGATGCAGTATTAATTTGTACACAAACAAATCATGTCACACTTCAACAGGACATAATCATTAAAATAAAAGGACTGGACCTAAGAAGTATTTGTATTTCATGAATTATATTATTGTATTTGGCTGCAGCCCTCAAATAAATTTTCATTTTGGGGGAAAAGGTTTGAGCAGCCTTGATACATGTATTTAAACTGAAACAGCTGGACTAGTGCATCCTAAATTTAACATAAATTAATTATTTTAATACAACAGTCATTTCTGCATTTTTTGGGGAGGTCTCCTCCTAATAAAAGTCATTACAGAAAATCTAACTGCTCATTTTAAATCCAAACTTTTACTTTTAATACTTAAGTACAAAACATATCAGATACTTTAAGACTTTTACTCAAGTAATATTCGTAAAGGAGACTTTAACTTTTACCAAAGTAGTTTTTTGGTAAGATACTTGCACTTTTACTCAAGTATCACTTTGTGGTACTTTATACAACACTGTCAAAAACCAGGACTTAGCTGCTTTCATTCATTCTACATCTTTCTTTGAATGCCATTTAATTTGAAAACATTGCATCATGTATGGACAATAATATGATTTAGCTTTTGGGATGTTAGCTTGTCTAAAATACATATAAATGGTTAAAAAACAAGGTTAAAGAAATGTAACTGGTTGGTTTGTGGTCAACCATATTGACACATTTTAGACATACATTAAATGGTCACCTTTAGAAATTTAATATTAGTTCTAAATTCATCTGATAGAAACAGAAAAAGTCTTTCATATTGAACAAAAAACTCACTAACGTCCATTAACATCTGCAGCACGGGAGCATTCTGCCCCGGCCCAAACAGCTCTGCTGTAGTTGCAGTTATTTATTGGGTTTAGCTCTGATAGACATGACTACAAGCAAAACACCTGGTTGGATCTAGACATGGGTTAAACGGCTCTTTGAAGGGATCCAGATCTTGAGGAGCTATTGTTCAAAAGAACGAGTTCATCATGGCGTACGCCGTATGCAATGACATCGTCACGTGGGCAGAACTATGTGTTTTGTCAAGTGGAAACCCCTCCCCCTTTCCCCCTGAGCTGCTGTCCTCCGTTCACAAGATTAGAATCGTTTGTGGACGTCTATGGCATTCCATTTGTGTCAAAAATAAGTATTTCTGATGGAACGCTATAGTTGTCAACACCTCTATTTGGACTCATTCATTCTTACAGCCTGTGCAATACTTATGGCTGCAAAAATGCATGACACTGCTACTGAGGCTGGTACTCCTCGCCACACTTGGTGAAAGTTTACACAGAAGAGCTGGTGGAGGGCTGCGGAGGGCACAGTGTTTCACACTCCAACCTGCCACAGGGATCAGTGTGTTTACACAAACCAAATCCCATAAATGTGCATCCCTTTAAGCCCGGGGCCTGGGAATGTTTGTGAAAAGAGCATTGAGGTCCACTGTGGTGGAAAGCCCATTGTCTGGGCTGCTGATCCTCACTGCACTGGACAGAAAGGGGGGGATCAATTGTCCCGGAGAAAATAAGGGACGTTGGGTAAGGATGGGGAGTTTGGACCACAGTGGTATGCTCATCATTGTCCCTAAAGCGAGCAAGTGAGCTCATTGTGGGCCTGATAATAGAACATCACTGGTTCGATTGTGTCTGCTTCTGTTTCAGACTCTGTGAAGCAGCTGTTAGCRATACAATCATTTAAAAAATGCTTCTGGTCACCATCACGTTTATTCAATCACGAAAAAAAAAAAAATTCTGCTCGTGTTGTGTTGGCAAGCTCCCAAATGAGAGCATCCAGTCTCTTTCCCAGCATTCCTTTCCCCTATAAAAACAATAACAAGAGATTGGGCACCGGGACTCTCTTGGGTTTGAAGAGCAAAAACAGGATGAGGATTGGCTTTTGGGAGAACGTTTTGACGATGATGAGCAGAGACGGCAGGAGCTGGCAGCAGCTAAGCTAAGAAAGCGCATTTCACAACGGGAATTTATGGGTTCTTGCCAAGGTTTCTGGGGAATAAGTTTGCTGGCAAGCGAGAAGAGTAGAGATAAGGGTCACATTGAGTGTTTGTGGCTTTTTGTTTAAATGTTTTGTGCCATGGTGGTAATGGTGGACTGAAGTGGTGCTCACTTCCTCACAACCTATCCTCTCTTTCCTGTTTTGTGTCAGGAGGGTGTAAATCATTTTAAGATAAGGGAAATTCCAAGTTCTTTGGACTGGGATAATGTAGGAGTGTGAAAAGGTCATGTCCAACTGTAAATGCTTTGTTAGGATGTTGCCAACCAGATGAAAGGAATTTTCTTACACTTAAACACAACTTACTGCTTTTATTTATTGATAACACCAGGCAAACACATTCCTGATCAGGGTTTGCATCGGATATTTGAGGAGTCTTATTATAAAAAATAGTTACAACACTGTTAGAATTGATAATAAAATGGCTGTTTCTCTACTTTGTGCACAGGTGGGGAGAAGATAGAGACTTTAACGGATCACCACAAAAATATTGGGTAGGCTCTTTTTTAGTTTCTCTAATGTGAAGTCTAAATGAAAGTGTACAGTTGTAGTGCTTTTATTTTGTAATGGGATAGTTCAGATCTTCGAAAGTGGAGATATATTTGCAAATTAATTCTTCTTTTTTTTTTCCAGATTGCTGCCAACTCCTGGGGAAAGAACTGGGGCGAGAAGGGCTACTTTCGCATCGCTCGCGGGGAAAACGAGTGCGAGATCGAGGCCTTCGTGATCGGCGTGTGGGGCCGGATCACCATGGAGGACATGCACAATCATCAGCACCACCATCGCCGCAGACACATCTAAAGACACTGCAGACTTTCACATGCCACCATGGTGACTTAAACTTTTGTTCAACACAAAGAAGGACCATCCTTTCACCAAAAAGCCGACTGGGATGACCACTTTCATTTTTTTACTTTACTTTTTTTTCTGGAAAACTGTGCAAATCAGCTTTTTCTTTCTTCATTCCCATTTTAAACAGCGCAACCTCCCCCACTGTTCCCAGCTTTATGGCATCAACAAACCAATGAAAAACTAAAAAGCTAAAGTGCCTTTGTTTTGCTTGCATTCAAGCACCTCAGGTACCTTCTGCTCCAAAGACCACACATCCCAGAATCCTCAGAATGACATCCGACGTCGTGGACGATAACAGCAGGCGCCCAATCGGATCCCTTTATTTTTTCAATCTTTTCTGCTTTAAACCTCTTATCCAGAGGGACCCGATACCAGAGGAGTGGCCCTGAAAAGAGGAAATCTGAGAGGCAGATTATCCGACACCAGAGCCGTTCAACACGACACACCCTGCTGAACGATGAAACCTGATAACATATCATAGACGACCTTACTGATACCTATCTGACAGCTATACAGAGGCAAGGTTTTACCCTTTCCACAAACTATAAGAACACTTGTAAAGAGTTTTAACACATTCCAGTTAAAACCGTGACACTGGAGTAGATTATCGGATTAGAAAGAATCAAACTCGTCCTGTAATTTCTGATCCCTGAAAAATTGTTTGACTGGTTCAAAAGATCTGAATGCCTTGTAGTGACTTTTTGAAATGATGATCTATTGAAGGGTTGTAAATAATTAATATCTTACCTGCTGTAGATAACTCTTTGAATGATCTTTAGAGAAATAGAGCCCATTTCTAACTGGATTTACTCATTAATGACTTGCCTGAGTTTGGATCGCTGCCTTTTTAACAACTCTAGTCTCAAAAATGTCATAGTTCATGCGAACTCAACTTAATTTCTACAAATACATGTTTGTTAATAAGTTGTCTGAAACGGGTAAGATATTAACTGTTCATAAACTTTCCAGATAACACCACCATAAAAGATCTGAACTACTATTTTAAAGAAACGTGGCAAAATTTAATGTGTACATATGTCTTAATTTCCTGTGTGTGCACTGTTACAGTTTGAGCTGAAGATGTTTTTATTTGTTGCAGTTATATTTTAAAATTATATTTTACTATGTGCTTTTAGATGTGCTATATTTAGAGACCTTCATGTCCCGCTCATCATCACCATCCTGTTGCTTTTTGTTTAGTTTTAGATCAGCAGGAATGATCAGATCCAGCTGCTATAATCCAGTCTGTGCTGCAGTACTTGCCTTTATGTCTCTGTAATGTTAAAAAAAAGTCATACCACTTTTAAACAACACAGGTTTTAAGTCAAACATTTAATTTTTAACATGTGTCTCAATGCTCTGGGCAGATGTTTGTAACCGTACTACTGGTTTCAACTAAGTCTGACATAAAAAGAAAAGCTCGGTGGGTTTTTACTTTATGCTTCAGATTACATCCTGGCCTGCCTCAGCCACGACTTCAAAAGGAAATGTCCTTTTTATTCGCTCTCTCTCATCATGTCTTGTGATCTCTCGAGATCTCTCCTTCGCTTCCTTCAGGCGTGAATAGGCAGAAAGTTACAAAGCAAAGAGAAAATACCTGAATGAACAAGCAATGTACAACAACGTGGTGCAGGAGAGCTGGAGATTACTGAAGCACGCACTCCAGCTGCAGCTTTGGTTTCATTTTGAAGGAGGAAAAGGCAGATCAAACGCAAGAATCAAACAGGAAAATGTGAAAATGACGGAAGCAAACGTCAGACTGTCTTTCTGCATTCATAATTTAATCTGTGAACAGAGTGCTACCAGTCTGTTAGCAGGTTTCAGTGTGAAATGATGTGAAAATCTCTTGAAGAAAGCAGATGGATTCATTGTTTTATTGTTGTTGATCAGAAAACCCCTGAAAGCACACGTTTTCTTGACTTAAGGCAAAGGATATTTATTAATATGATTAAAAATTAATTCCCCTCAGGAATAAATAAAGCATTAATTCAGTTATTCATTCACTAAAATGTTATTAGCTTTGACTTAAAGAGGACTGAGCATTAAAAATATTAAATGCAAAATAATGTATTTATTTTATGATCAATATAAACAATCAAATGGATTTTTTTCCTACATTTTCATTCAACATCTTCATTAGAAACCTCCGCTAAGCTTCAACAAAGCTCCATCTAAAAGTTGTATATTTAGTGTCATGAACCACTTGATGCGTTGTAGGCTTTATTTATGAAAATACATTTAATTTATGTACTTTTGTTCTTCTTTGTTGTCCAGTGCAATGTTTCATCATCTATCTCTTCTGTGTGCACTAAACACAATACCAGATTAGTGTTCACTTTATTCAATAAATGTTGTTTTTTTTCCCCCTCCCAAAACCACAACCTGTTGCACCTGAGCTGTTCATTTGGGTGGGAGGGGAATTTCGAAATGATTCACAATAAAAACGGTTGTGTATGCTTGTGAGTAGTGAGAGGAAGCAGGCAAAGAGGGATCAGGGTGAGCGGCTGGAATGAAGACAGTTGTTTTAAGGTTCTGCTGAGTCAGCGTCCTCGTTGTTCTTCACAATAAAACAAAACAGTAAGTGGAAAACCAGAGCAAAAAGAAAACAAAATAAATTAACGGGAGGATATGATGTGTGTAGAGGTTTGTCTGTACTGTTAGCAAAGTTTCTCATGAATCACTCAATGTATTTTAATGAAACTTACAATCTGAGTCAAGCCAATTCAAGATGGCCAATAATGGGTGACATGCATGACTGTGAGGGATGCTAGGCTTTTAGTTTTCTCCATTTTTGAAGTTTACAGGTTCTAGAAAACTTAAAATATGTAAGTTAAAGCATTTAAAGCTGCCTCCGATGGGTCATTAGTCGGTGAAGTTTACTTTACTGATTTTGTATAAAGAAAGATGAATGAAATTATCATTACTGAGCTATATTTTTTCACTTTAACAATTTCTGTTTAACGTCAAAGAAAAAGCCATGATTTTGGTTAAAGTTGAAATATGGAACAGCTTAAAAAAGACTCAAACAGCCTTAAAAAAGTTATTAAGGTATCTGGAGAAAACTTTACAAAGCTTATCTCTTTAGCCGGGTACGGAAACTTGGAAGGAGGAATTTGTTTGCCGACTGTTTACATTTCTGTCATTGTTTCTGCGTCACCAAGTAGCCAAAGCATTCATTACTTCAGCTCCCCTTTCCTCTCAGCTGATGGAGAGAACTGGATGAGAACCAAGACAGAAAATGAAGGAAGCTGTATCGAACAACAACAACTGGTGACCGGAGTYCTCCGCCCTGTTGTTCCTCCTGGCTCAGGAATATGATCTTCTCAGAATCTGCTTGGTAGTTTGTTGTTGGTGTGTAAAAACAGGATCTGACCAGAAACAAAATGGAATAACCTCCAGGGTTTTTTTTCTGCATCAACACAATAAAAAACAAACATTTTCCTATTATTTTGGGGAAATCTTTCAGCAAATTCAAATTCCTTACTTTTTTTTACTTACAGTCCCACAAAATGTACTGCATCTTTGCAAATAAAAGTAAACCTAAACAATAAGTTAATGGTAGGTAGTTGTTTGTGTTGTTGATTTTACTCCAGTTTAAAAAAGATTGTTACTGCAGACAAATGATTCCCAATTAGTTTTTTATTAAGATGTTTATTTCTTAATTTAACATCTTAATGCAATTTCTACTTTCCTATCATACCTACATGGAAAAGATTTGGTACAGTCTATCACTGGCTGGTTGAAGGCTGCCACCTTCTGGCAAAAAGCAGCAATTAAAATAAAATCAAGCACCGAGGATGAACTTCTCTTAAAGCTCCCTTTTAAAAATCTTCAATAATCTAAAAAAAAAAAAGAAAAGAAAACAAAAGTGTGTGTGGTGGTGGGGGGGGGATTTCAGTGTTGCCTTTGCAATCTTTAGACACAAGATTAAGTTTAAAACTTCATCATGATAAGGAAAAAAAATGTGTTCCAGTGACATCATGATCTCCAGTTTCTGCATCGGCGGTCAGCTCTTCATCAGATCACGACTGCCTTGAAGACTTCTGCTTGTTGCTCTGAATCCAAAGTGTCCTGTCTTGTCTGTAAACCATGTGTCTGATGTTAACGTGGTCCAGTTCCCCTCCGGGACTCACACATTCTGTAGGCACATATGTAGAAAATACCTGCAGCGGCACAGAGACAAGAGTCCATTTTAACAAAACATGAACAAATCTGCCTTTAAGGCTGACGTTTTATATTCATCATGGTTTTAGTGTTTATTCACATTCACTCTCATCTTAATAAGAGAAAATGAATCAATTGCAAACACTCAGCAAAGCAAACTCTGGACTTTTTGCGCCTGTGGCTGCCTACTCATGTGACATGAGGCAGATATCCCACTAAATATTTGTTTTCTCACCTGCAAAAAATGTCATGAGCATGGCCACCCAGCCCAGGATGTAGGACCAGGAGAAACGCCAGTCACCAAAGCGCTTTCCCAGGAAGTTGACCGTCACTCCGGTGTAGACAGCCATGCCCAGCAAAACAAAGAAAGCTGAGAGGAAGGAAGAGCATGCATGTGATGCTTAATGGTGTATTTTTCATTTTCTACTCAATGAAAACTTTTCACTAGTATTTCATATTTTAAAGTGGGTATTTGTGGTAGGACTACGAACAATTAACATCTTGCCTGTTGAAGATCATTTTCTTTTTGCAAGATTATGTATATAAACATTAGCTGAAGCACTTCTGGTGCAGATTGTGGCACTCATGCAGCAAGAATAATATGTTTCTGCTGGATTAATTGTTTAATGTCAAACAAAAATGTTTATTTAATAGTGTTCATATGGACCATTGTGAAAATGTTGAGCCTGTAGTTAAAGATGGCTGCAATCCACTTTTGCATCATATACCTAAATTTGCACAGAATAACTCTAAGCTCATCAGTCTGGTCAAAATAAAATAAAAAAATGTCACTCTCCAAACAGAGAATCAGTTATCTATGACAGGTAAGATAGTAATTGTTCATAAATGATATACACAAAAAAAACAACATTGTTCTTCGTTTGAAACAAGATAACGCTGGTAAGTACTTTTACAGTTTTTAACTGGATTCATGTGAGTCTGTACCAGGCTGAGTGAAAGAAACTTACTGGCGATGAAAAACATGATTCCTGCAGCAAAGGAGCGGTTGAACCTTTCGAAGGAGGAGAAGTGTGAAAAGGACATGATTCCAGCAATGATGCCTGCGAAGCACGACATCCCCGACAGGATCATGAAGGCCCTGGTGGCGTTCCAATAAGCTGAAAGAAAACAGCTTGAAATCAACAAGTCACATTTACAACAATGTGGCAGGATTCATGATTTTCCTTTAAAGTTTTTATGTATTTCTACTCTAATTAGAGAATAAGCATCCCTGATTTGCTTTAAAAAGCCACAAAAAAAAAGATGTCATTCATATTTTTTTCTTAAAATGTTTCAAAAGTTTAGCAATTTCAGTTGTACGCAGACAGTCAGTTACACGGCACTAAAACAAGATTAAGACTCAATCCAAAGTACATGAAAGATATCCTGATTTTCTCACCTATGCTGTCCGTCTGCATGTAGCACTTGTTGGACATGCAGTACCTCCACAGACCCTGGTGGGCGTAGTTCCCAGAGAGGCGATACTGCATCCAGTAGTCCGTGGCAGTGGAGACCACCAGCAGAATATTTCCCACCACGGCACAAAACAGGCCCCCTCCCATGAAGCTGTACATCTTGAGCTGAGATAACGGGGCTGCTGCCGAGCAACTGTAAAAATAAGATGCAGAAGGTGTTTGTCACTGTGCACACACAGACTCATATATGGGATCAAATATTATCGAGGTCTGAAATTGAAAATTTCTCCACTTACAAATAAGCACACACATTTATGAAAAACAGATTTGAAAAAAAAAGTCTAGTGGATTTTTTTTCTTGTTCCACTAAAATTTTTAGGGAAAATATTTAAAACTCTTGTTGCCAGCCAATCAAAACCAAAGATGTTTGAAACAAACGTTAAAGCAACTATTTTTTGTTCTGTGACAATCAGATTTGTAGCTGAACGTCCTCCGTAAAGGAATAAAGCAGCTCAGATTTGTGAAATTTTTAAAGGAACACAATTACCTGTTCTTCACAGGAGACATTGCTAACAGGTGAATACTTCTAAATCAAACCTGATGAAAAAATTTAAGATGCTGCGGTTTGTAGTAATCTCCTGCAGGTCTTCACCTCTGCTCGCTCAGGAGTAAYGAGGTTAAAAACTGACTGAGGCAGCCTCTGTCGCATCACATTCATGCATCAGAGCAGGAAACACACTCAAAAGAACTTCCCTTACCTCGTTTCTGGAAACACACCGACTCTAATGCCCACCTTCCAGAGGCAAAGATGGAAAAACAGAGAGGGCTGTTGCTCAGTTTGGGAGGGAGGGGGGGAGTCACAGACAATACTACCATCAAAAGGTTGCCCCTCGTCTTTTTTGTTGATGAAAGCAAAATCCTTTGCTTCCATTGGCCTGCACTTGAATGAGACCTAAGTGTGTAATCTGTACATGTATGTGTGTATGTGTGTGTGTGTGTGTGGTATGGRGCCTTAGTGGTGTAGTGGTTCATGCATGTATCATCTTTTACGAGGGGTTTTGTTTGTTTGTAAATGGTGTACTCTAGAACTGGGGATGTGCAGAGGTATGCAGGATCAATGCAACCTGCTGTAATAAACACTTTTCTTTCATGCTGTCTCACCAGGGCGTCACATAAAGAGGGCGTGCCCTGCAGTACACACGCACTACATGTTTATGTCAAATACAGGAGCTTTTTAATTCTAACACACACACTGAAATAACTCATTTTCAGCAACCAAACTGACATATAAATAAATAAAAATTGTATTAGAAACATTGTGTTTTTCATGCAAACACTAAGCACACTTTCTAAACCTAACCATGAAAATATGCCACTAATCTTGTCCTAAAAGTTCTAATTGCCTGTGTGATTATGTTTTGTTCAATCAGGCAACAAAACTGTAGACAGAAGTTTCATGACCAAAAAAGAAGCAGTGTGTCAAACATTCAATACACAAAAATTACAGCTCTCGAATAACTATATGCTAACATAAAATCAAATCAACCTTGAACAATATCCGTTTTTCTGCTGCCCTGTGATGAACTGGTGACCTGTCCAGGACGTACCCCTCACCCCTCTTATCTGCTGAACACTGGGATAAGCTTCTGCCAAATCCGAATCAAAAGAGAAAAAAAACAGGACTTTTCATTTTCAAAAAGCATTTTATTTAATTAAACAACCCCATACTTTTTAATTATCGAGGTAAAACAATCAAATTACACCAATGTTCATAGTTGGTTGGCAAAAGCCATCCCTTAAAAAAGCTAGGGACTATTAGGGTTTCAAAATATCCAGTGTAGTGTTTTTTTTTACATTGAGAGTTCGTATTGTTTTCACAAGTACAACATATTTTACAGTATTTAGTGTGCTAGATGTGACCATTCAACCCATTCTCACTCCCAAATGTTACACCATTGGGAGTAACTTGAAGTTAAACTTCTCAAGAAAAAAAAATGAACAAATAAAAGAATAAAAAAATTAATAAACAATCAACAACAGAAAAAAAAAAAAAACATAGGCCTACTGGGAGGTTTTAGCCTGAAAAACAATACTTGTCATTAGTGCCACTACATCCCATTTAGACACGATGATTAATGAAATTTGTAAACCTGTATGTGCAGAAATTCTTGGCCACTGACTTAAAATTCAGAATAGTTATAAAGTTATGAACTCATGGCCAAAGTAGGATACTACAGTGATAATGTTTATTCTTTTGTTTTAATTTTAACTAATGATCGAATGCATTCATCTGCCAAATGTACCCCTGTTTAATAATAACTTTCAGGGTTGGATAATTTTACAGTAAACATTTATTTTACTGAACTTATTTTTGTTGAATCTAACAGAAACTTCTAGGACCGGAACCGTCGACCTCGTTTGACCCGGAAGCAAAAGTTAGACCGAGCTGTTCCATCGGCGGAGCAAAGATGGCTGAACAAGGCGTCGCGGATCCTGGTAGCAACGATAATAATAATAAACCCGAAGAATCAGAGGGCACTATTATTAAGGTCACAGTGAAAACTCCTAAAGACAAGGAAGAAATCGCCATCGCAGAAGATGCCTCTGTCACTCAGGTTTGTCGATGCTGCTCATCGTCGTCTTCTAACGTCATGCCCACAACTTCAGCTAGGAAGCTAACTCGTTAGCATAATGTCACCACTCTTACCGGCTAACTCTGGGTTCTTGTAAATAAAGCAGTTGTGGGAAATGGAAGTAATGTTACTTATAATAACAATCAGTCGGCAACTTTAACGTTGTTAGCATCCAAATGAAAGATATTACCGCCCTAAGATTTGATGCCGCTAACCGGCTAGCCAAGACTGTTAGCTTTGAGCTAACTTAGCCTGCTATGGACCAGCCATTATTAGCCAACTATGTAGCCAAACAAGTGTCAGCTGACGGAGCTTCCTGTGGTCAACAGGCAGCGGATAAAACCATGAAGCTAGTTGTGGATAGTTTTATATGTCAAATCACATTTTGTTCTCATTTTAATTTAAGTTCTTTAAAAAAAAGTTACATCTTGCTTTCACTCTAGAACATTCTCATTGGTGTTACTGAGTCATTCAGGCTTCTTGGGATTTCACAGCATTCCCAGTGCTGCTGTTGGCTTGGTGACGTGAAACCATGCAATCTGTAACCACAGTGAAATCAGAGGTGGCTTATTTTTTTCAGTTTCGTTAATGTAAAAAAAAAAAAAAAGGTTAATTTTCATGTCTTGTGTTTCATTTTTTAAACTTAAACCAATCTTATCTACGATTTTATTATGAAACTTTCTCAATGTAATAAAGAAAAATTGTTAAGTTGATGTAAATGTAAAACAATGTTTTATGTTTACATGAATAACACACACACACACACACACACACACACACACACACACACACACACACACACACACACACACACACACACACACACACACAACAATATATATTACAATGTTTTGTCCTGGTTTTGGCTATGTGCATGTGCTGAACAGGTACACACTGTATATAATAATCCTAACACAATAGATCTAATCATGTATTAGAACATGATAACATTTGATGAATACTCATCTGATAAATCACGTTTTTTGAATCTGCATTAAATCATTCCATCACAGGGCCAACACAGACACACAAGACTTAACAGGTAAGCTAACATGTAGACTCTGGAGGAACCCAGATAAAATGTGTGTTTGCACAGAGAAAATTTACAAACTCCAGAAAACCGGAAGGCCCAGACTGAGATATGATGAAGAGAACTTCTTGATGTGAAGCAACAATGGCAAACTAGCTCATCATCACTGTGCATCCCTTGACAAATGAAACATGAAATTCATGTGTATATATGCTCAAATCATTACGGTAAATTGACACAATCCCTCAGACAGTGCTTGCATACAAAATCAAATACATATACTTTTTGATGAAGGAAGTAAAGATAGTAAAGGCTAGTGTTAGGGGAAAAACTGACCAAGGTTATTGTACATTTAACAAAAATTGCTGACAAAACACTGGCAAAGTGCTAGAAACATTCAGCAGTTTTATAGTACATATTGAAAGTAGGAGTACCTATCGTGTCATTATTTACTTAAACCAAGTCAACTAAAAGACAGTGTGTGAATTGAAACCATCAAATAAAACTAACCACACTCTCTTTAAAAAAAGGGAACAAGGAGCAGGGCAGCATTTGGTTAGTTACATGTGAACAAACCACTTCTGAAACTGTGTCCTCCTGTTAGCAGACAAGTCAGCATCATGCGCACAGTTTGGTGACAATTTCATAAAACAAATAATAACAAAAAAAAAATCACAACATCTGTCAGGCATTGTGTCGGAGGAGCTTTTGCAGCCAGAGTGCCTGAACACCTTGCAGTCATATCATATGAAATTAATTAGTGTATAAAGTGTTTTACGTGTCAAATGTAGGCCCATGTATCAGACATGTACATGCAGGCTAGAGTGGTCATACAACAGGACAGTGAACCCAAACACTACAACAAATCTACAACAGTGCTACCCTAAAAGAAAGAGTTAAAACGCATTGGCTCAGTCAAAGTCCAGTTGCAGTTTCCAGGCCAAATAAATCTCAGTTAGCAGTTGCCAATAAGTCACCTAATTTTACCAGATTATATACATAGAATAAAACTTCATGGACGTATTAATCCTACAGATTGTCTTTTTGATTAAAGACTACTGGGATCCTGGCTGATTATTACAAAAATACTGCTAATAGGATAAGTCTGTCGTTCTTTAGGACTGTGTTTTTATTACGTACAGAGCAAATAACCCAGCACAGGCTAGATTGTGGGTCTTGAATTTTTATTGCATTTTGATATTTCTCTGACTGGGGAAATAAATTATCTTATTTAATTGGTGGCAGGTTGCACTGTTCACCACTAGATGTCACCAAGATTGGATATTGATTTTTATTTATTTATTATTTTTTGTGTATCTGCACACCCTTCTTTAGTTTACCAAACTCCTGTATCGACTTAGTAATGAGTAGCTTGAAGACACAACAGTTTAAGACAACAATTACTGTAATAGTTTACATGAAGTTAAAGAGTATATGACACTGTACTGCAAAAACCCAACCCAACATATGCAAATAAAGAAGCAGGTTTCCAATAGCACAGCAGCTAGTTTGTTTTGATGGTCAGCAAAAGACAAGTTAAAGTTAATAAATATTAAAAAATGGCAATGAAGTAAATGCTACATCATGTTTTCTTTAGTCACGTTTTAAGTTGTCTTTTTTTATTCAGTAAAACGTGTGGAAAACAAACATGTTATTTCCTTTTTTAATTTGTTTTTTCCAATATTGTATTTATGTTGATATAATGAGTAGTAACACTGTATAACTGCATATATGCACAAATTGACAGCATTGTTAATTTTTCCCCTAAATTTTAGTGTAATAAGTTCTGTTGATTTCTCATTATCGTTTGCTTTTTGTTTTTCAGTTTAAAGAGGAGATCTCAAAGAGATTCAAGGCCAAACAGGACCAGCTGGTTCTGATTTTTGCTGGGAAGATCCTGAAGGATGGCGACAGCCTCAGCCAACATGGCATCAAAGATGGCCTGACAGTTCATCTTGTCATAAAAACAGCACACAAGTAAGGTTATGTTTTTGCACACAAGGCTAAACATCTTGTAGCATCCCTTTAACGAAAATAATTTGGTTTTGCTGTGCGTCTGCAGTCCATTTTTTTCAATATTTAACTTCATGCAAGATAACCCCTGTCAGTGGCACTTTGTTTTACATGACCACAAATTCTCTTAATAGGGCGGGAGAGGCCAGTAGCACCTCAGCGTCAAGCTCAGCCTCCACTCAGGCAGACGGTAATTCCACCTCTAGTCCAGCCACCAACACCACCTCCACAACAGGCTCCTCTGGCTCCGCCCCACCACCCACACAGACACCCAACATACTATGTAAGTTCACCTCTATGTGAGTGATTACATTCAAAGCCTTGCATCAGTACAAGAAGTTCAAGTGTTTAACCACTGCTTACCCACTTATCTTCCCTCAGCGGGCTTCGGGGACTTGAGCAGTCTAGCTGGTTTGGGCATGGGCTCGGCCAACTTCATGGAACTGCAGCAGCAGATGCAGAGGCAGCTCATGTCCAACCCAGAGATGCTTTCTCAGATTATGGAGAACCCGTTGGTGCAGAACATGATGTCCAACCCAGACCTGATGCGACAGATGATTATGGCCAATCCACAGATGCAACAGCTGATGGAGCGCAACCCTGAGATCTCTCACATGCTTAATAACCCTGAGCTGATGCGACAGGTAAGCAAATCCTTAAGGGACTGAAAGACACTTTGATAAGTAAAACCTACAGATTGTCATAGGTTCTTTCTTCAGTTTTGTTGATTTGTTCTGTTGCCTTTGTTGATTTAAAACAAAGCTAAACAGACACATTTCCTTCTCTTGCCTCCCAGACCATGGAACTAGCCAGGAACCCGGCTATGATGCAGGAAATGATGCGAAACCAGGACCGGGCTTTGAGCAACTTGGAGAGCATCCCAGGTGGTTACAATGCCTTGCGAAGGATGTACACAGATATTCAGGAACCCATGTTTAGTGCCGCCAGGGAGCAGGTATCTACATTTGTTTTCAGTGATTGTATTTGAAACGTGATGAAGTTTATTTTGATTGTTTCGTGGTTTTAAATTGAGCTGAACTCTTTCTTTGTAGTTTGGTAACAACCCGTTCTCAGCTCTGGGTGGCAACTCTGAGTCCGGTGCCCAGCCATCACGGACAGAGAACCGCGAGCCCCTGCCCAATCCATGGGGACCACCAAATTCTTCTAGCTCCACCGAGAGCGGAGGGGGCACCACAGGAAGCACTAGTACCACTGGAGGGACCAACCCCAGTGTGTCTAACCCTCTGGGTGTCAATCCTGGGAGTCTGGGAAATGGTGAGCCAGAGTGAGCTCGCTGATTTGTTGCGTTAGCACATAATTGTACTTTTAAATAAACCTGAGTGTATGTTCCTTTGTGTGTGTGTTGTAGGCATGTTCAACAGCCCGGGCATGCAGAGTCTTATGCAGCAGATCTCAGAAAATCCCCAGCTGATGCAAAACATGCTGTCTGCTCCATACATGCGCAGTATGATGCAGTCACTGGCTCAAAACCCAGAGTTAGCCTCACAGGTAAGGCTTAAACTGTGGCCTTGTACTTGGTATTCAGCTTTGCAGGACACACAGCTAATATTTCTTAAACGCACATTTGCATCCAATTGTAAAAAAAAAATGAACCATTTTTTGTTGTACCAGCTGTACATAAACAACTTGACTGAATGCCAAACCAGAACTAGTTCACTGAGAGACCTAAAGTTCTAATCTTCAAACTCACCTACTTAAAAAAAAGAATTGTGTTCAGTTAAAGGTAATTAGTGGTTTGAATGTGTTTTCAAAACCAGTTTTTCTTTTCTCAAACAGGTAATGATGAATAACCCGTTGTTTGCTGGAAACCCACAGCTGCAAGAACAGTTCAGAACCCAACTACCCGTCTTTCTGCAGCAGGTAAAAAAAGAAATGACCAGTTTAAAACCCAGTTTAAGAAACAAACTCAATGAAAGGAAGCCCTGACAATAAATGGTTCTGATAAATATCAATCTGCTTTTTTGGAGAACAGTACTGCTATGAAATACTCGCGATGTGCAGTACGTTTTTTTGTTATGTCAGCTTTGTTACTTCCAAGCTTGTAAGAGGCAAATGGTTAATTTTTAGTAAAATGTCAATATGAGACATGTTAATATTTTTTAGTTATTTATTTCTTGAGGAATAAAGGTACATAATGCTCCATGCGTGTAGTTTCTTCTGCTAATTCTTTGCTGCCGTTTTTGTTGGGTTTAGATGCAGAACCCAGAAGCCCTGTCAGTCATGACCAACCCTCGGGCCATGCAAGCTCTAATGCAAATCCAACAGGGTCTACAGACGCTGCAGACAGAAGCCCCAGGCCTCATGCCCAGGTAAGCTGTCACAGACAAACATACACAGTCCATATTGCATTGTTAAGGAGAATATTGATATAGGTCTTGTGCATCTTTTGTTTGTTTCTGCTCAGTTTGATGCCAGGTGGGACAGGTGGAATACCTGGCATGCCCACAGGAGGGGGCATACCTCCAGAGAACCCCGCCTCCCCACCCAGCAGCGCTGGAACGAACGCCGCCCAGCAGCAGCTGATGCAACAGATGCTTCAGATGTTCGCTGGAGGAGGAGGAGTCGGAGGAGGAAGTGCAACGGTACACACTGACACGCACACATGCAAAGTGACCGTATCGGCCTTCTTTTTATTTGACTTTCAAACTTATCAACTTTCAGACCCAGACCCCTGAGGTTCGGTTCCAAACCCAGCTAGACCAGCTGAACGCCATGGGCTTCATCAACCGCGAGGCCAACCTGCAGGCCCTCATCGCCACTGGAGGAGACATCAACGCCGCTATTGAGAGACTGCTGGGCTCACAGCCCTCGTAAAGACGAGCAGTACATACTGACACTCAGACACGCTCATAAGTACATCCTTAACTCATAACACCCTACATCTACAGAAGAGAAATTTTTGTGTATCGTCCCAAACTTTACAGAAGAAACTTGGGCATGAACTGAAAGACCTTCACTCTTCATCTGTTCTCAGATCATTCCCTGTTTCCCCTTATTATTATTTTTTTCTTCATCCAACTGTTTTTCTGCAGAGTTCTGATGTAGATGAACTGAATCACTCTCTTTTTGAAGGCTGTTCTAAATGATTGAAAAAAAAAAATCGAATGAAAAGGAATTCTCAATTGTCCTTTTTTTAATCCACAAAAATTTGAAGTTTAGTGTTGTAGACAAGCATTTACATGATTAAACCCATGTGACGTGAATGGCATTTGGCTCTGTTTCATACATGGCTAATGTGGAACAATATGGTTATTTTCTGGTGTGCAGACAGTAATCCCTGAACATGTTCCCACTGACGTTTGGCCTCAGTTTTTTACCCTCAGCTGTATTTTTTTGCCCAGCAGCTTTCGCTATTTATTACAAGCGCCTAATAACATGACGCCTTTCACAGTTCTCTTAATCCGCCTTTCCAGTGCCCACCCATGAGTGCGGTGTTTTGTTTTTTATCTCTTTGGAGGTAGCAAAGCTGCATTGTCAGCAAATTACAGTCTCATTCGGTGGGTGAATCAGACACCCTCACTTTCAATAAACGTCTCACGTCATCATTCAGGAATCAGACCATAACCATGTATCACTTCACAGCAGCTCTGAAGCACAGGGTGCTGCTAATATAAATATAAACGATACAAACAAGCTTTGTTTTCATTTAAATCTGATTTTTCTTCCTTTTTTTTGTTTTGGAGGTGCAAATAGTACCTAGGTATGATTTGTTTCACATGAATTAAATGTGGAAATCAATCAAGTTGAATAAGAAATGAAAAGGCTTTAAAAAACAATTCTGGTATGGTGACGCCATGCATCTCTCAAATCATAAAGTTTAGCTTGTTTGTTATCATTATTATTATTATTTTCAAAACTCATTGTAGTTGTGGTAAACTTGGCAACTGCTTCAATAGCTTTGCTTTGTCTGTTGACCTCAGCTGAAACAAAAATCCATCTTCCAGTTGAAAATGTTGGAACTAACTTTTAACAGTACTGTACTAAAAAAAAAGAAGTAATAAATCATCAAAAACAGTTACACTTGTGTCACTTCATTACAGGAGTTTTAAAGGTTTTGCTTTGTTTGGGTTTTAAGTACACGTTTTGGAAGATAAATAAAGGCCTGTTCAGTTATTGCAGCTTTGAAACAAAATTTTACTCAGTTTTTTGGCAATAAAAAAACAAAATGTGTTTTTTTTCTTTCATTCCTGCATTGGAAAAAAAAAAACTAAATTAAATCTAAAAATAGGAGAGAAATATTAAATCAGCTCCGTCTCCACAGGCCTGTAAAATCCAAGCGCAGAGCAGAAAGGGCGACCTGTTCTGCACATATCCACCTGCTGGGTGAGGTTTATTGTTATCCAAATGATTCTCTGAGTGAAAAGTGTGTAGCAGAGGGTGGAGTCTGTCCCCGTGAGTCGCTCTACCTGTTCCACCTGCTCTCCTTCACCCGGCCCTCCTTTGGGCGTCAGCTGATGGACAATCAGGAACACTGATACTCCCGTCTGTGTTCAGTCAGGAACTCCTCATACCCACAGAAACAAGCAAATCTTTGTGTTTTCACTATTTCTCTGCACTGAAGGGGCGAGGTTGTGTTTGCTTTATTTTCTTCGTGAGCTCCTCCAGACTTTGAAGGTGGCTTCAGGATATTTACTAAGTGAAACAGGGACCCATCGGCACTGAATGCAGCATGGGATCTGATGAGTCGTACAATTTTGTCTTTAAAGGTGAGTCATGTTTACTTCAGCTACAGTTGTCTAGAAAGATAAAGTTGTTTATTTCTACACACTGAAGGTGTTGATGCAGCAGGTTGTTTCCAAGAGAAAAAAAAAAGCCAACCAATGAGGAAGTGATTGCTTCCTGTGAATTTGGTTGTAAAGTTTGACCTTTGACCTGTTAGAGAGCTGTAAGTTCTTACACTTACTGCTTAGCTAAAAAAAAATTAGTGTGATTTGTTTTACTCTTATTTCCCCCAAGCTGCAGTGATTTTCTGTTCCTCTCACTCTAAACGACAGTCAGCCTCTGTGGATCTGCCACGTTGGTGTGACGTCATCGTGTGTGGAGTTTGAATGACAGAAAAGTCTGACTGCTGATTCACGGTGTTGATGATTGGTTCAGAAACTAATGTGGTACTAAAACACACGTGGGTCCCTGTAGTGGTTTTGATCGGGGAGTCCGGTGTGGGGAAGAGCAACCTTCTGTCCCGCTTCACCAAGAATGAGTTCAACCACGACAGCCGCACCACCATCGGTGTCGAGTTCAGCACGAGAACCGTTCAGCTGGACAACTTCACCATCAAGGCCCAAATCTGGGACACAGCAGGGCTGGAGCGTTACAGAGCCATCACCTCGGCGTGGGTTTACACACACACACATACACACACAGATTTTTTTAAGCCAGATTATTAGTAAATGAATCAAGAAGTGAGACACAAGGGTTTCATTGTTGGCTCATACTGTATGCCAGGCTTCATAGAGTAGAAAAATTCTGATAAAAGCTACTGTTGCAGCAGCAAAGTTGTCGATTAAGCACTTAAAGAATAATTGTAACTGTACAAAACTTGTCACACAAAAAGTTAATATGCATAAACACACAAATCGAATGTACAAACTTTTAGGATTTAGAGGAAGCAAAGAAATTCCATAAAAACGGGCAAAGAAAACCAAGTAATTTTATAGAAATATGGATTACACCGAGTCCAAACAGCTTTAACTTTCAATATGTGGCAGGCCATTATAACATATAATCAAAACACACTACTGTCTATCTTTAAAATATCATGAAATCATTTTTTCCTTGTTGAACAAAACCAAAAATAAACATATCTAAACTAACATTCATACTAGTTAGAATCACATCATTGCATTAAAAACACTTAAAAATGTATAATGTTTGTTTTTACATTTAAAACAGCTGGACTTGAAATGTAATACAGATATTTATCATTTCAGTCTGTATCTGTTATTGCAAAAAAAATCTTACAACTGGATAGATTTGAATAAAACTCTCAGCAATGATTGGAAGAACATCTCCTGCTGATTCACTTTTAGTAGCCTGATATAAAATGGCTCTCACAGATAATTAATGAGTTAACAAAAAGCTATGACTCACCTAATTTGTTCACATGTTGAGGTAAAATGTGTGAGCAGTAACAGATTGTGCAAGATCTTTGATTAAAATTGTTTTAGGCAGCATGTGATATGCATTCCTTCAAAATAAAATGCAACTTTCATTTTTCTAACAGTGTGAACAGAAAGATTGAGAAGAGAAAGGGTTAATCTTTGTTTCCTCGTGGCTTCAGGTATTACAGAGGAGCAGTTGGAGCTCTGTTAGTGTATGACATCAGTAAGCATCTGACCTATGAGAGCGCAGAGCGATGGTTGAAGGAGCTTTACGACCACGCAGACCCTCACATTGTGGTCATGCTGGTGGGGAACAAGAGTGACCTGGAGAACCTCAGGACTGTTCCCACAGAGGAGGCCAAAGACTTTGCAGGTTGATAAGATACAAATATGTCAAATCTTTTTTTTTTTGTTTGTTTTTGAACAAACCCACTTTCAATAATGCTCAAACTCTGCCCCCCCATTCAGACAAGAAGGGGCTCATATTCATGGAGACGTCGGCACTGGACTCCACAAACGTTGAAGCTGCTTTCAACGAAGTCCTCTCAGGTAAAAAATAAAATAAAAAAATAAAAAACACTCACCTCCTCGCTTTGATTTACACACAGCATAACCAAAAAAAAACAAACAAAAAAAAAAAAAACAAGAGGGTGAACTCTGTTTTTTCTCCAGCGATCCATAAAAAAGTGGCGAGCAGAGAGGTGACCCGCGGCTCCATCAGCGCCGTGACCCTGTCCCGTCCCCTTGGAGCGAGCAGTGAGACTCAGGAGCGTAAAGGCTGCTGCAAGAGCTAATGGACTGACCGCCGCCCTCATAAATATTTCAACAGCCTTTGTTGAGCCAACATGGTGCTTGACTGTAGCTCAAGCGTTTAACATTCAGTCTGATACATAGGCGCAACAGTCAGTGTCCCAACACTTTAAAATATAAAAACTGTACAGTTTATAGGTCATTGACTTAGTGTTGCAGATACTGAGTAAAGCCATGTTTTAAACATGTGTTTTTCGGTGGGGCCGATGGGTAATCTTTAATTTAGTTGTGCAGATTTTCTCCCCCCCCTTTTTTAAAAATGTTTTTAGACGTGGTTTGTAAAGTTTTATTGCTTTTGTAAAAGAATGCACTGGGAATGAGTTGGAATAAATTATTTAAATTATTCTGTTTGCATGTAATTACTATAAAATACAGTGATTATAGTGAATTTAAGATGGTGCTAAGACTTTATTGAGCTTGGAGTAGGACTTGTCAAAGACAACTTTTGAAAGAGTTATTTAGAATTTGGTCATGCAGCTAAAAAAAGATTTTAAGAAAAATTTATACTTTTTACATTTTGTTTGAAAATTTGAGTTTTTTTAAGTGTTGTGATTCAATTAAATAAAGTCTCAAAGTATTTATTCCTTTGTCCTGTCTTGCCAAACCAGCAAGGTGTGTTTAAAATTAGACTCTATGCAGGTCATCTTGGTTGCAGCCTGACCAACCAGTCTGTTCTCTCTTATCTGCTTTTTGAGACAATAACATGAAACCTTACCACCACCAACAGTAGTGTACTTATACCGCATCAGGGTGTATTGTTCCGACAGACCAGCGGTATGTAACTAACGTACGTGAGTATATTGCTGTAGGCAGAGCTGACATCCAATACTGGCCTTGTTCTCATTATGGCTGTGGATGTCTCCACCTCTTTATCTGTATGCTGTGTAGAAAATGCGCAGTGGCGTACCATATGCTGAGCTAATTCTACAAATATCCTCTCTCTGCAGTGAATTCTAGGGGCTACAGAAGCATTTCAAAGCTGCAAGACAGTTTTTTAAATTCATTTGTTTAATTTCTTTACTAAAACCTAGAAAATGTGCAACAACATGGCAATTTCTCTTTTCACTATAGGGCAAATTTTAGCTCATTTATTTTAATTTCATAGTAAAAACTATCAAAATAAAGCTTGTCTTTGCTAGCTAATAGCCAAGATCTCTGCCACTAAATGTTTAACTTTAAGGTTTTAAGGTTTTAACTCCAGAGTTAATGAGTCGAAAGTGTTGTTTCACCTCTCAGCCTGCAGGTGGCAGCACTGGTGTTCCAAACACTTTGCTGAAGGCTGACCGTGCAACAGTGAAATGCATTTATTTCAGCTGAGTTATTTACTCCTGTGCTCTTCATTTTACCATCAAATCCCCTGCTGTTCATCTTGTGAATTATCAGCACGATATATTAGTCTCGTGTATGGTGTTGTCATAGTAACACGCTGTTTTGACAAGAGGAGCAGGACCTAAAAATTGTAACTCCATTTACAGACTGGATGCTTTGATGTCAGTGTGTGTGTGTGTGTGTGTGTGTGTTAGATATTTAGAGGCAGTGCACACTGTAGATGTGGCTCATATGGCACAGCTTGGAAAGCATAAATCTGCAGCAGTTCTGTTTAATGACGTTCTGGACAGATAGTGGTGAGGCTCTGGCTAACAGATGTGCACGGGGACGCTTCACTATGGAATGAGCTCGTCTGCGTGTGCATAGGTGCAGCTTTACCCACAAGCAAGTTTTCTCTTGTGAGAGTAAAACGAGTGTAGATGCAAATATGTTTATATATTTTTGTCTAAAAGAAAAAAAAAGTAAGGCTCCTCCGCAGACAATCAATGTTTAATTATATCTTGCGAATGAGGATAGTTTTATTAGGCTTTGAAAAGACATCTGGAGTAATAATCCGAGCCAGCTGAGCTGTTTGAAAAACTGCTCATGAAATCTGTAAATCTCCTTTCACCTTTGCAGGCCTCGAGGTAGAAAATTGGGAAATTAAAAAATTACAAGCCCTCSGTTCATTTCTTACCACTTCACAGGCTCTGTAAGCCTCCAATGTTTTGGTGTGAAGAATCTCTGCGGTTGGAAAGAGTTAGTTGTAGCACATGACTGTTTCCTCCACGCTACCAGACATAGCTTGTAAAAATGTGCATCTTAAAGCAGGGCTCAGATGTGAAAGTGCCGGCACCTTTGACCCCCAACTCGGGTCCGTTTTATCCACTGTTTGAGATTCCTTTTGTCTTCGACGTATTTTTTCTGTGGAGTGTCTTTATGTGGCAGGAAATTACAGCTGCATGGGTTCAATTGTGATCTTTTTTTTTAAATTCTGTGCAGCATTTGACTTCATGGAGACGGGGCCTTTTTAAAAATTGGTTTCACTTTTCCTCTCATGTGTTGGAAAGTCCATCTAAATCAGTGTAAGAAGGTCATTATAATATTTCTGCTTCTTGTGTTTTCACTCACTCAACACAAAGCTCCAGTTATACGAACTGTTGCTACAAACATTTCGCCTCTTACCTGTTTTTTTATTTATTTTTAACTTCAAAGAAAAGGCTGTTTTCGTGTAGTTTATGTAGTACACATTTTTCTTGTTAATAAAAATACCAAACTTGGAGATGTTTGCTGAGCTCTGACTTCAGGGCATGAATCAAAGGATTTGAGGCTCGAAGTCCCGGGCTCTACACAATCATTTAGCATGACTGAGCTCTGAAAACCTCCAGATGGTCAGAATAACTCCTTTAATGGTAGCTCACTGTCCTGTGTGTGAGCGTGAGCACATTTATCAGCAGTATATGACCAGTGAATGCAAAAAAATAACTTTTAAACTGTTTAGCAGTTCAGTATAAAACAAGCACATTTTATTTTCAGTGTATCTACAGTTTATTAGAATAATGTGAGATGTTTACACCACAACTTAGCTTGATAAAAACTGAAAATAAATTTGAAAAATAAAAAATACAGAAAGTGATACAAACTGAAATAGAAATCTACTAAATAAACAAGCATAGAATAGAATAAATTTATGTTTCTAAACTGTTCATACACGAATAAACATTTTAGCTAACAAACACCATCTGTTATTTAAGGCTGAGAAGTAAAACTTCTTTTTTGTACCCCTTTCTCACTTTTTAATTAATCAAAAATAATTCAGATTTGTATTTTTCTTAAGCAGAAATGGACAATAATCACTTTTTTAACACACAGTGTTTCACCACATTTCTAACATCCACTGTCTACCATATAACAAGTCAAAATGACATTCTTGTGTCTTTTTTAACTGATTTATATTTTTATATTGCTTCAATTCAACATTTAAACCATTCCATAAATCCACCCCACACAAAAACACACACATACTTTTCCTCTGGTATGCACACTTTGTTTTTTAATAATAAAATACTTGTAAAAATTTACTAATTCAAATAAAAGCTGAAGAATTAAACATTTCGTGAGGAAGTACAGAACTGTCTTTGTGCCAGGATTTTAAATTAAGACTAAGACTAACCTTTTGTTGTGAAATCATAAATTATAAGTTCAAACATAATGCTCAGTGTTTGTGATGAGGCTGACTCTCAGCTACCATCACATCAAATTAAAGTTAAATGTCTGCAAAACTGACTGAATTGTGAGTTTTGTTTTTACTAAAGATGATTAGTTGCAGCCGTCACGTTGACTCATGTTAACTTCAAAAGTTAATCATTTATGTACATCAGTGATTACTTAAGAGTTTCATTAAAATCCTTTTACTGGGTATTTTTCTAAAAAAGAGACAAACGTTGCTGCTCTCCTTACACAGCGGTGGAAGATAACAATGTTTACTGATTTATTCTTCCCTCAGCAGAGGTCTATAAAATATTGGAAAAAAATAACTAAATAAAAGTAAAATTACATGAACAAAAAATCACTTTGTTAAAAATAAATTACACTGATGAGAAAACTACTCAAGTAAAAGTCATAAAACTGTTCAGAAAAATTGGGAAAGTAAAAGTACTTTTACACACTCTGTAAGAAATAAACGGTTGAATTTACTGAATCAAACTGGTTCCACTAAGCCAGGTTGAGTAAATTGAGCAATACATGTATATTGAATGAATGAATGAATGAATGAATGAATGAATGAATGAATGAATGAATGAATGAATGAATGAATGAATGAATGAATGAATTTTTATTTATCAGGACATGTGCAATTTAAACATAATCATAAAAACATCTGATGCCCTGCACCAGATTTAGCCTACGGCTAATTTGCATCTGCAGTCCTGAACACAACATCCAACAATGATGAAAACAAGAAAAGAAAATAACAGAAAAATAAAAACAATACAGAATAAAAACAATTTATGATCAACAATAAAAATACATAAAAACACTACCCCCTCTCTAAACACAAAAGGTTATATCACTAAAAGTTCAATAAAAAACCCCACAACTCCCCCAAACCAAAAGCAAACTCTAAAATTGATTACCCAGTGCCACTCAGTGATTGCAAATGAGTGGATTTCAGATACTTTTAAAGATTATTTTTTAAAACTAATAAAAGAACTACGTTTTTTTACATGATCAGGAGTGGCGTTCCATTGAGCGACGGCTTTGACCGTGTAATTCTTTGCTCAATTTACTCAACTAGGCTTAGTGGAGCCAGTTGACATCACTTTGTTGAGTAAATGCAACACTTCATTTTTTAGAGCGCATAAACATCTTCTTTCATGATGAGTTCAAACATATTTAATTTTGCAACGAGTAACTAGGGGTTAAATTTTAACGTAAAGAAGTAAAAGTATCATTTTAGCTTTAAAATGTAACAAAATAAAAGTAAAAACAGCCGTTTAAAAATATTTACAAAAAAATTACAAATCCTCAAAAAACTACTTAAGTACTGTGACAAAGTAAAAGTACTTAGTTAGGTATAAACCTCTGCTCAGTAGGTATAATTTATAAACTATTTGTAGGACATTATACAAAATAAATTATGAAGCAGCTCAAAAGTCAATATATCTACTAAAAATATCCCAAACATCCACTCAGTCACAACAAAAAACTTTTCCAAGATGCACGAACATAAAGTCCAGATGGAGCAGTTCAACAGACACGTTTAGAGGGGGTGGGGTGTGTGTGTGTGTCTGTGTGTGTGTGTGGGGGGGAGGGGGGCAAACAAACCAATCAGATAAAAATGTTCAAATTCTAATATTTTGTCAAGCGTCCAGGCAGCTGTGAATTACTGTAATCTGCAGTAATTACCGAACAGCCCAGACACCTGCTGTGTGAGGCTTAAAATCTGTGCTTTCTCCAAAATAACAGAAATAGCTCCTCACGCTGACAGAAACACCAAAGAACCAAGTTAAATCCAGCCTGATGGGATGTTTTTGACTGTGCGGCTGTGCACTGTCTACACATAAAGTCAAATTTGAACAGGAGTGTGACAGTGCTCCTTCGTCCTGCGTCCCTCAGGCCGAGTCAGCAAAAGAATTTTAAAATTTCCACGTCAGCTCACCACCATCATGAACAGAATCAAAGTCAACGCACGGTGATTACCATGGTGATGTTGTTATGGAGACCAATCAAAGAAGAGGTGAGCTGATGGTTAGCTGTGGGTTTAGATCCC